GTGAAGAAAACACAATACAAATTATGAAAGTTCCCTATAATTTCCTTTGTAAAATACTTAAAAAAAGTTTCTCAACACATTGTCTGCCACTGACCGTCAGTTATGAGTTTTCGACCAACTTTAATTCATGCATTAAACACTATATATTTACCTATTGTTTCTCCTCAGAATGAATAATAAGGAAAATGTACCAACCGTTATTGTGCTTCCGATTTTATCTTATAGTAGTTAACATCAACATACGTTGAAGGCTTTCGCAAAATCACATGAGTACACAGTGAGATTCACATCCATAAATACTTTGTTAAAACAAATTTAAAATGTAAATAATTATTCTAATAGCTTTACAGCTTTAAAATAGATAGCCTGAAGATGCAAGCATTATTTTTCCTATGATAAGGATGAAAAGTGATTGCAGCTACCCATTTACATGCATTTTTAATCTTTCTCTAAATATTGAGTTAGTTTTCATTCTTTGAAATTCATCCTATTTTTTCACTTAAATGGATGGATTGATATGCTACAGCGTGGATCGATATATGTTTATACCAGATTCTGTATGTACCGAAAAATGTTTCACTGATGAATTCTTTGTGGACAGTCTTCAAAGAATATTAATCATAAAAAATGTTGATAAAGTATTTTAATAATGAGTAAAATAATCCTATAAGATTGAACAATTCATCAAGACGGCGTATTCTACCTGCTTATTATTAATTGTATAATAAACTTGAGATAGTTCACTTTAGTCATTAATTGTAAAAGGAATATTTTGACTGTTGATATGATTCAGAATCGGTCTCAACTGTTCAGATAGATTTACTCTTTGTCTACCCTTTGAATGTACTTTTAAATCATTTTATACTTTTAATTCTGTGACTTCTCTTATTCCGTTCAAATTACATTTTCTATGTCAAATCAGATTTCCTATCACTGATACTACAACTCTAGTATTCATCTTGGTAATTTCACCTCACTGCAGTGATATGCTTTGGCAATGTTATTTTTTGTCCCCGATTTCTGTGCTGTTTATGACTGACTGATTGTTAAAATATTATCAATAATATAAAAAAAACTGCCTTCAAAGTAATACACAGATATATATATATATATATATATATATATATATATAAGCTTAGGCTTTTATACTTTTCTAAAAGTACATTCAAAGATGTCAGGAATCAACAAGATCCAAATAGTTGTTCTGACCCGTTACATTTGAAACTTCCATCCTAGTCTATCATTATATATATTTCCCATATGATCACATATAACAAGCAGTATCAGTTCTCCCAACACTTCAGGTATGCCTTGCTGATGAATTTCAACTATCATGAAACCTAATTCCAGGGTTTTCTGCCGACTTTCTCCAACCACCTAATATTTTAATATAATCGCCGCAATGTCCAGTCACCTAGGCTAGTGCTCACATAACAACTTGATCGAACAACTAGACAAACATGATATTATTCGCTGCACAGTAATCAATCGATCGAACTTTTTTTCATATTCTTCAGTTCATTGACTATACAAGTTATACCATTTCTTTTTTTAAATAAGCTATCCATTTTTAAACCAAGATTAATATATAAACTAGCTCAGTTAACTGAAGTAAACTGTTTGCTGGAGAATCGATTAATCATTGACTTTATTCATCAAGCGAAAAGGTATCGAAAACTGAAAAAAACATTCAGTATGATTTTTTAACAAAGCACATGGTCTCACCATCCATATAATAATTATATATATATATATATATATATATATATATATATATATATATATATATATATATGCTTGTGTGTAATAGTTACCTATCAAGAACAAATTCCCCTCTGTCTTTTAATCGGTATTATATCTGTTTTGTTATTTAGCATTAGCTTTAAAACAATAATCAAATAAAATAGCATTTTCATTTTTTGTAATCCCATACGTCACTTTTTTTTCGTGTAGTCATAATTTATCCAAAGTTATCTGTCGAATTTATAGAATTCGATAATTACAATTACTTTATCTTGATTAGTCTGCTTTCTCATCGCTTTCTTTGTTATAAAAATATGCGTTTTTCCATCAAGTACTTCAGTTTTTGTAAACATTTGTATCTATATAAGATCACTTGGTGATAAAAACATGTTCTTTAGACTACTCCAATATTTATGGTTGAATCTTATAGCAAAGAAAGTAAAACACGAATTGATTCTGAATAAAAATGAGTTTTATTTGTTGTACAAATGAGATCATAGAATTATTATTAGAAAACAAATCTATTTCATTTTATCAGTTGTATAATATAATCAAACGTCCATCGAGATTCATCTTGAGCTTATATTTTGACTCAATTTAACAGTGCGCACTGGCCATTTTACCATTAACTATTTTGCATTATTTTGCCAACAATCTTAAATGCATATTGTATTGGTTGTAAACGATTTATTCGCCTTAAACTTGACTATCGTTTTTGCAACGTTAATTCAGATTTATAACTATCGAACCTAATGAACAGTTATTGAAAATGTTATTCGTTGTTCAGGTCATGCGTCTTTGTTTAAAATGGTTGTCTAGCTAAGTCAATCTAAGATGTAAGCTATATTTTAGTTGAATAATCTTTCTACACTTCCAATGCTAGTAATCTCTTCTCTATTTTTACAACATTCAACGTGAGAAATAAGTCTACCACATTGTAAACTCCTTTTAGAAAATTTTCAAAAGGCTAATATATCAAGATTTTTCATTTCCAATACTGTTTTGGAGAATCGTAACATTCGTTATTAATTTGTATTATATCAATACTCCTTCAGTGTTTCATTTTTAACATTGTGTTTACATAATCCATATTGATAAGTCTTGCTAATTGAACGCTAGATTTATCTCCTAGGCTCTTCTAGTAACCCCCAGGATAGAACTACACAGCAACTTGAACACGAGGGAAAAGGCGCGAAATCTGTAAGAAACACTTTACTCCAAAGGTTTATTCATGTACAAAAATATAGGGTTTTTATAGTATTTTAGATGTCCTTGGTTTCTTTGAAAATTCTGGAATGCTACTAAACACAGTAGCAGTGTAGTAATCATGTAATCAGAAACTCGACATGTGACTTTTCACTTTCTTGATGTTTCTGGCAAAACTTCTAATGAACGCCGATTGGATAAGATGCTACTCAGTGTTTTCAGCGCCTTTCTTGGCTTTTTTCGAGGAGATTTCTGGATCTCCCCAACACATATAAACATTCTTACACCTCAATTTGAACTTTAGAAAATCACCAGTAGACATTTTAAATTATCCAACAGCATCAAAATTTGCTTTGAATATGACTTTAAAAATGTGAATGATTATTAAATTTCACGTCCCGCTTGCGGGATCGTGGATGCGCACTACTGAGGAGTCCCATACTAGAATGAAATGGCTATCCAGTGCTTCCAGGATTTCAATGGTGTTCTAGCTTAAATCGACTTGTAAATTCAACCATTAAAGCATTGTCACCTTCACTTCTTATCATTACGCTAGAGAACTCTAGAAGTCATGCCTTTTGTTATAAATATCAATTTGATTTTTAGTTACGAATAAGCGAACTGTGTTAAATATGTAAATAGGTGTTCAAGTACGATGTACCACATGATTTCACGTAGATAATTCAGTCAGTTGATTACTTAGCCGTTAAAAATAAAGCCATGACAGAGGTAACACTGTACATTTTTTGGTTATGTACTTATGAAATTCTTACTCCTATATTTGCTGTATTCACATATCCTTAATTAATTTTAGTTGACGCAATCTAGTGTTGTCATACAACAGGAAAGCTAATCATTCAGGTTTTGTATGATAAGATCATATTTTGCCTCTACTATTCATATTTTTGGTGTTGATAATCAGTTACCCGTTATAAGTATCACGACAAAATGATTTATTTTAGATCGATACCTAAATGTATTTTGGTCTAGAAGGTTTTATGAATCAGTAATCTACTATGTCAATTTTTTCATAGCGTCCCAGTGTGGTGTGTTACTGATCTCGACAGATATAAGTAGTATATATCATCAGTCGAAAGTGAAATACCTGGAGGCAGAAGGTTAAGAAGATAAAAGAAAAGAGAACGGGAACAAAGAATTATTGGTGTAGAAACGAAAGAACACTGAAGTCTGAGACGGTTGATTGACATTATGCAAATGAACTATTTACTGTATGGTTCACAGATTTTACTAAGATGTTCTGTAATTTTATAATCAAATATTTCCGATTATCCCCACTTGTGTTCTCATACATTGCACCAGTAAACTTAGTTGATCCACCTTTATAACTTGATGGTATGGCCACATATCCATATATAGACTCTCTCTATACATAATCTAACCATTATTCATACTATGTTTGCAGCGTCACTTCAATGATAATAATCTTCCTTTATTTTCAGTCTTGTACGCTAAAGTATTAACGGTCATGTACAACATTCGTTCTTACTTGAAATGCAGAAACAGTTACAATTTAAATCATTAGTAAATTACGTATAACTGATTGAATATTTTTCTATTAATATATTATGAACTAAGTTGAATATAATATATTCTACGAATAAATATGGAGTGTCTTTAGCACAGTGATGTGACTCAGAATCGGTATCAATGGAGCAGATACATTCACTTTTTTGTCTTAAAATACTTATATGCTTTATTTCAATAATTTATTTTTTTTATCTGGTATCATAATTTTTATCCCCAATCATTATTATTAATCATACTGTTAATAATTTCCTTACTGTGGCATTTTTCGTCGTAATTTCATTTAGCTATGTTGATGTCGTGTGGTAATCTAAATCGATGCACTTGTGTCCCAGGTTCTGTGTGTTTTTGTCTGACTGACCATCTTTTATAACTTCCTTTGCTATGCACCAGGACAAAATGCTAATCTGCGCATTAGTATTTTTTTAAATTTCAGTGGTCATTATCAATGTTGTTATCTTATCAAATGTTTCTGATTTTCTCGTTTCGTTTTCTTTCAATTCTAGATTTAATTCATTTATAGGCTTTAAAAAGTGAGTACCATTTTTCTTCGTTTCATTTTTCAATGTTCAGTGATACTCAACCATTTAAATAAAAACCTTTTCTCAAGCTTCATATTTACATTGTGTTAAAACATTAGCCAATATATAAAAAAACTAGACCACATGGAACATTGTTCCGATCGCCTAATTGTAAAACCTGATGATTCACGGAGATTTATCTTATATAATATGAAATTTGTTTGCATTACATACAATCGCCGAACTAAGACATGATTCTCAGATTTCGTTATTTTTATATGTGCATACAACAAAATAAGACAGAATACGTCCTATTATGTAACAGAGACAAAACAAAAAGCCAATAGCGAATGATACAAATCAATCAGTAAACAAACTCCTTTGGTATAGCAGAGCTATGCATAACGTTACGGATCGTCCATGATATGAATAATTAAGATTTTCCATTCAGTGGTAAATACATGAAATTGGTATATATACACCGTAAGATAAATGATATACGAACCGTCATAACGTAATAGACTAAGTGTTAATAAATATTAATACACTTCGATTTTATAAAACTGACATTATGACGCATAACATTACTAGAGTGTTTGAAGTGTACGAACTTTCATATTTATTCAGGGAATTGATCATTAAAGTCCAATAGAAAGTGTTTCAAATTACAAAACACAAACAATCGACTAAATAATGAATTAAAGCTGTCATTTATACATACATATATAAAATATATAATAAAAAAGATACAACTTAACAGATCAAAAATGATGAATTAACATGAAGTTACAAAATGACCATCTGTTTTTTACTACCATATACTTCAAGACATAACTTTCCAATTATACTTTCCTGAAACAAGAATAGAACTCAGTATATATCCGCAGACTCAGATTATTCTTTGAAACACATCGACGGTCCAATTCGAATAATAATTGTGAACACGAATAATTCAGTTCAGTAACCTTAGTTAATCAACGTACAAAAAAAACTAAGCAACAACCAGAAACACTTGATTGTCGAACAAAAATGAAGTTTGATTTATTTCGGTATGAATATTTACCAAACGACGGTGATGTTTCTTACTTGCAAAATAAAATTAATGTGTTTTAGTAAGCACTATGGAAACAATAAGCATGATTCAGTGTTAGGAAAACTGTCATCCATATATGTTGACGACAACCTCAATTGTATGCTGGGTCCTCGAATTCCTGACAGGCATTCCAGTATCCCGTTGGTTACTGAGGTACGAAATATGCGAAAACCGTACGTACACTATTTTGTACAGTAGGGCCACGAGGAAACTGTAATGACTGGTAACTGAAGTCTTACTGAAATGCTTTAAACAACGAAAACGAAGAAGTGTTATAGTCAACCTCATAAAATAAAGTTTGCATGACATCAGTTCTCCTACAAATAAATATTAGTTCTGACGACTTCGATAACTACACCTCGTATGTTCATAGGCAACAATTTTGAGAATAGTTTTGAGAAGTATCCCTACAGTGGTACGAATTACCACTATTATTTCCCAGTCGGAGCCAATGGGTAGAACAGTTCACTCAAGAGCTGTAATTATTATTCAGGAAGATCCACGTCACATACTTTAAAGAGTATTATTACAGTAAGAATTCCACAGGCATCTATTTTACGTATGATAATCATAAAATCAGTCGATGTATCACCAATTAATTCGTGGTTCACCTATCACTAGTCAACTTTAGAATGTACTGAAATTGATTATATGAATTGAGTAGCGTTACTGCTAAATTATTTTCGACTACGGTTGTTATAGCATGTTGTTCTGAATGAAAGTAACAGGGATGTGAATTCCTATCATTCTATTATCGACGTGATCAAGTTTGTAGTTATTCGAAAGTGTGACTTCCTTTGTAAACGAACTGACGACTAGGTGATATGCTATGATTCGAAGTGGTTGATATACTGAACTATTTAACAAAACGTATGAACTGACAGAATCATCAATTTTGTTAGCGATCAAACAGTGATCTTGATGCCTTCAGAATGATCGTTGTGATCATTAAATTAAATAACCGTAAAAATCTCCAAAGAATTAATAAAGTTGAATGGTCGCGACTTCTGACAGATAAGCACATCGATCAACATGCAATAATCTCATAGCGAGGTTAAGCTTATCCAACTTTGTGTGGTTGGAAGCAGAATATACAAACGAACAATGTCGAATAACACGTGCAATATAGGTTACGAAGAAAGCATGTGCATCTGATATGTATATATATTGTGTAGCTTAAGATAATCGGAATGTGTAGTTCTTAACGGTGGGGATTTGTAGCTCAAGTGGATAATTTTGGTTTACAATCGATTGATCACTGGGTGGTAATCAACTTCATATATGTCAGGTACTCCTTAGTGCAGATTGAATCCTATCAACCAATAATTTTGGTAGGGCTTCATTCTCTGAGCTTGATGGTTTAGTCTATTTTTTGTAGACTGACTTTTGGATATTTGTTTCATTGTTGGAGAGCAGTGATAGAGGTTCATTTACCAGGTTTGATTCGATCGAGTTTAATAGGGCTGTTATGACGAAGGATATCACCAGTTCGTCGTTATTGGTTTGAATCTCTCATCTTATCCAAGAATTGTATTGGGGACCTAGCGGGACGACTGTATGAATCAACTGAATGTCTCAATTTTCTTGAAATTTCTCCCGATACATTGTGATGAGGTTCTGGGGAGTGGGATGTTTGGTTTGTATAGTTTCGGTCTACCATGGAATTAAAGGAGCACTGGTCCATTGTATTTCATTCTTGATTGATCTTGTATTGGTATTTGTCCCGCTTTGATAAGTTTGTTTAATGTCCTGGCGATTTAGTTGTCTACCTTCTTGACTGGAGTTGTGTGTGGTGATTTATATACGCTTTTATTCTGAAGTAGTTGCTCAGGCTTTCCTGATATATTCTTCATTCTCCATACTTACCGTAGAGCGCTTATCTAAATCAGAGATTGAAACTCCACCGAAATGTGTTTGTAAACCTTCAGCGACACGACTTGAAGTTGTTTTAAATTTCCATTTTCGACATTATTTCATACTTTTGACTCACTGAATAGCTCCCATATGTATCGTTGCTTTAACTCGCGTTGGCATTCTATTTTGTTAATTTTCTTGACAGTGTGATGCTATTTTAGCAATAAAATAGTGAGTATGGTTACTAAACAGTTAATCGATATAAATGCAACCACGTGATTTGGTTGAAGAACATCTGACGTGCATTTACTGATTGATTGAATAGGTTAAACAGTTTATATGAAAACCTATTCGCCAAACCACTATACTACTGAAGTGGGATTTATCTGGAATTCTTCAAAAGGTCAGCGATAGCGTCCATATACAGTAATATTTTCCTCTGGTTTGTAACGCATTTCATTACATTGACATGTGTACTGTCTATTAACACAAAATATCGATACATATCATCTGACTTGATAAACTCTTTTAGGTCTACTCTGCATAGATCAGTAATAATAACTGAAGATATTACAACAATAAAACGTCTGAATTTTGATATCCAGTATAGAATTTGTTTGAACAAGTTCATCCTAAATGATTTCCAAGTATTTCGATAATTAATATCATGTAACTGGAATTTTTAACTTTGTTATTATCTACTATTGTGTATAATGATTGCCAATTATCTGACTAGTCAACACGTTTATTTAATATTCCTTTACAGATTAATATGCTTTAAAGCTTCATATTTAGTTAGTGCATTTCATAAAGGCTTGCACTTTCCAACTAATTATGACAAACTTATTCCCACTCTTGAAATTAATAAAATCGAACTACAATGGAGTTTAGGAGCTTTATTATATAAATTAAAGTAAGATTACTATTATTATTATTATTATTATTATTATTATTTTTACATGAGATGGTCGAATAAAATTATGTAAGATAATTTGAGTTAAAGAAACCGGATATTCATTAGCAGATATAATAATTCAATTTAGAAATGTATTACTTCAGTGTGAACCTTGATAAAGCCAATAATGTTATATCAGTATTGCTTATTTCATGGAATAGAAAAAAGTATCATTTCTTTTAGAATTGTAATTATTATTTCTTATGTTGAGCGCTAACACCAAAAATTAATACAAATAATTATAAATGGTAAATAGAAAGGAACTCTTAAAAGGAGTATAGTAGATCTGTAAATGTTTTGTTTAGTGTATCCTTTTCCAAATGAACGACTTTACTGCAGTAGCGATAAATCACCAGGGCAAAATAGCTTACACCTAATGAAAGCATGATGTAAACTAAGACTGACAAACTTTGAACAAAATAGAACTAGCAGTAATGTGAGTTTTCAATCCTCCTTCTGTTCAACTCAGTCATATGCGACACATATGAGCATCGGACGAAGTGGACAAACCAAATCAGCACAGTTAGATGACATGGTAGTATATGTAGTAATAGTGTAGTGAACGTGAACATAAGTGGGTACAATTGAATGTGTTTGATTACAAAATTACAGAACATCTTAGTAAAATCTGTGAACCATACAGTAAATAGTTCATTTGCATAATGTCAATCAACCGTCTCAGACTTCAGTGTTCTTTCGTTTCTACACCAATAATTCTTTGTTCCCGTTCTCTTTTCTTTTATCTTCTTAATCTTCTGCCTCCAGGTATTTCACTTTCGACTGATGATATATACTACTTATATCTATCGACATCAGTAACACACACCACGATATTGGTTTAAGAAATATTAGGCACAAAAGATATGATTCGAGAAAATATGTATCTGTGAACTAGAAAATGTAAGGTATTTCGAAACCTTGGATCTAAGAGGGGACAAAGAGTGAATGCATCTGTGCTATTGTAATCGATTCTAAGCCATATCCCCAAATGCTCTAACCTTCGATTACGAAAATCGCTCAGAATCCAATCAAGTAGTCTGCATATACTTACACGACCCAGTCTAATATCCGATAATTCAGGAACTAATGCTATGTCTTGAGCTGACCTTCTCTAGTTCCCTCTAAACCCACTCCTAAACCAGTCATCATCGCGGATCGAGTTAGTCGATGGACGTGCATACGTAATATATGTCTCAACCACCACGGTCTTCAATGAATCACTATCTCACCAGTCGACTTGACATCTTTATATAATACTCTGAATCTAACCTCAGCATTATTCAGTCGGTGGTCTCAACGTACACAAAGAATGCTCCGAATGCACCAGTGATCAAATACCAATAAAGTTTGTTTTTAAAGGCCACGTTTCACAGCCATGAAGCAGAACAGGACGAATTGCTACTCGCCCTTTGGTTGATAGACGGACAACTAGCCACGTCACAAGCGACGTAGGTCGGCAAAACCCAATCGAGTCCCTTTGATCCATAGCGAGACCGACCCACAATAGTTAATGACTCCTCCATTATCGGGGAATTGATCGACCTACTCAAGCACTTCACTCCCTATCATTAGGTCTATTATTGATGGCGACTAGTTCCCAAAATCTCTGGAATTTGCAATATCTCTTTCTTTGATAAATTTAGAAAGTTATCTATTATTATCTAGCACTACAACCCCTCCCAGCTCTTTTATTTTCGCTATCCACCACTGCTCACGATCATCACACAAATTTTTTTGTTAGTCTATGTTTAATTTGTCTTCGCTCTTCATCGTGTCCCGAGCCGATGGTCTGAGCTTATTTCCATCTCTCAAATCAGTAAATGCTACCAAAACCCACTGTTGCTTCCTAATCTTTTATTTTGAGTTACTGGTAGACATTCATGTTGTTCTTACAACTATTGGTATATCATATCAGTCTGCATCAGGGTGGTCATCATCTTGTTGACTGACTAACTGCTTCTTTAGTTTTTCGTGGAACATACTACTAGTCTTTCTATCATTGGGCTGAGTCCCAAGGGGTGTTTCTGCTGCGGTCGGTCAAGTTTATAGATACACAAAGGTAAGTCGTACCGGTTCTCCGTATCGACTAGATGAGATAGTGAATAAATCCACTTGCATCCTCTACACAGGTTTCAAAAACGCAACATAAGTTGATGGCTCAAAAACTTATAGTCCTGAATAAGGAAACCTTTTTTTCTATTTCAAATAAGGCTTGAACACCGGAAGATCTGGCACGTAGTTTAGAGATTGGTTCCAAGAGACTCAAATCTTTAGCATTGGCAGGAATTAGTTCTAAAGACAAAGTTATAGAAGAAGGGTTGATGGTTAGGATAGAAAAAAATATTTGAAATTGATGAAGGGATTTGATCATGAATAAGTGAGTCTCAAACAAGTCGATATTTCTTCTGGAGGTGCCTGAAAAATAAACTAGATTAGTATTGTTCTTGGTGATCTGGTAACGTGACTGCGGAATCCAAAAGACAACCATTTGAGATCAATCACAAATGACTTTTATGCGAAACTTCTCGATGCGTTATATTTGTACTTTAAAAACCTTATCGTCAGAGACGAAAATCTCATTTTTCCCTTTCGTTTAAAGAAGGCAACATCACTGTTATTAATGGTTATATGAGGGAGAAATATTACCGCCTTCATAACGAAATACAACTTCACTCTTGGACCTTCAGATGCTGCTTTTATTCGCACCTTTCTGACGTGGTGGTATCCAAATAAACAAGTGTCCCAGACTGCAATATTGCTCGGTTCTGTTATCATGATAGGGGATCTCAAGGAAGCTTCTACGGTTAGGTTCTATTCAACCACCGAAATATTCATTGTTTAGACTATCGGATACAAGAAGTTGAATTAATAATACTATTTTAAATATTAAGTATTCGTCTAAAACTTATTTAAAAATTAACAATGCGTCTTCGAAAAAAGTGGTAATTTGGAAAAGTGACACTCAGGCGAACAATTCACAACGTAAATGAAACTGGCGTACCTTAGCAAATAATTATCTAATATTTTTTATAGTGATTTTCTGCCTTTTCTTCTTTAATTATTTTATCAAGGAACGTTTATAAATTCACTGTTTATAATTTGATTCATGTTTCTTCTTTTTTCTAATTCTTTCCTTTTTTTTCCACAAAAACAAACATTTAGAGCAACTACAATAGACGAAGAAAAAAAACGGGATATTATCGTGTTCACAGTGGTTATTTTTTGTGTTGTAATCGTTTTAATATTAATAGCTATTATACTCTATTTTACAGTAATCAAACGTTTACGCACAAGTAAACAAGCACAAAATGGTTCAATTACAACAGATATGAACAATTTAGAACCGAATGTAAAAAGTAATAATGATACTTTAAATCAATTAAATGATAAAATGCCATGATTTTAAAATAATCATTATTCAAATAATAAACATCCACTTACTAACACTTCATATCATAAGCGCTTGTCATATGTTTACATGATGAGCGCTTTATTTGAACTTATTTTACTCCAATTACAGTTATGTACTCATAATTTTTTTTAGACATTAATCTGTTGAAACAAGTGAAAGATAAGATTCTATTTTATTGAGGTGGGTGTACGCCCAATTCTTAAATTTGTAATTATTTTCTTTGATTTAACTATTTGTTTATTATAATTATTGTTTACTTCGAACTTATCTTTATTTTTGATAATAAAAGCCAAACAAGTTTTCTCTTCCGTTATGCTTGTATTCTTACCTACCTTACATTAGTCGATCAGCTATAAAAACGCGTGTCATTTAGTGGCTTAGTCGAGATATAAATCACACGGGGTGATATGTATTATGCGATCTTATGAACTTACGGATGCGTATTATTTGTTTGATAATTACTGATTACGGCGTAATGACTTATAGCTGGTTACTGATTTAAAAAAATCCTCGTAGTTGTAATACATATCAGGATAAGTATATGTGCATGAAACAACCAGATAGCCTCACATAAGATATTTTAATACATGAACTTTTGTGTCTGAGTTCAGTGTGTTATGTCACATTCAACTCTACGTACAAACATCTATTCATCAATATAATAATTAATAACAATACTATCAGAAGACCATTATGTAGATCTCACAAGACATGAATGGTAATCAACACTTGGTAGGATAAAATCCTGATTTAATCTGACGATGGTTTTCATATCCTTATTCAATCAGTCAATAAATGCACGTCAGATAATCTTCACTCAATTGGGTTTTGCCGACCTACGTCGCTTGTGACTTGGCTAGTTGTCCGTCTATCAACCAAAGGGCGAGTAGCAATTCGTCCTGTTCTGCTTCATGGCTGTGAAACGTGGCCTTTAAAAACAAACTTTATTGGTATTTGATCACTGGTGCATTCGGAGCATTCTTTGTGTACGTTGAGACCACCGACTGAATAATGCTGAGGTTAGATTCAGAGTATTATATAAAGATGTCAAGTCGACTGGTGAGATAGTGATTCATTGAAGACCGTGGTGGTTGAGACATATATTACGTATGCACGTCCATCGACTAACTCGATCCGCGATGATGACTGGTTTAGGAGTGGGTTTAGAGGGAACTAGAGAAGGTCAGCTCAAGACATAGCATTAGTTCCTGAATTATCGGATATTAGACTGGGTCGTGTAAGTATATGCAGACTACTTGATTGGATTCTGAGCGATTTTCGTAATCGAAGGTTAGAGCATTTGGGGATATGGCTTAGAATCGATTACAATAGCACAGATGCATTCACTCTTTGTCCCCTCTTAGATCCAAGGTTTCGAAATACCTTACATTTTCTAGTTCACAGATACATATTTTCTCGAATCATATCTTTTGTGCCTAATATTTCTTAAACCAATATCGTGGTGTGTGTTACTGATGTCGATAGATATAAGTAGTATATATCATCAGTCGAAAGTGAAATACCTGGAGGCAGAAGATTAAGAAGATAAAAGAAAAGAGAACGGGAACAAAGAATTATTGGTGTAGAAACGAAAGAACACTGAAGTCTGAGACGGTTGATTGACATTATGCAAATGAACTATTTACTGTATGGTTCACAGATTTTACTAAGATGTTCTGTAATTTTGTAATCAAACACATTCAATTGTACCCACTTATGTTCACGTTCACTACACTATTACTACATATACTACCATGTCATCTAACTGTGCTGATTTGGTTTGTCCACTTCGTCCGATGCTCATATGTGTCGCATATGACTGAGTTGAACAGAAGGAGGATTGAAAACTCACATTACTGCTAGTTCTATTTTGTTCAAAGTTTGTCAGTCTTAGTTTACATCATGCTTTCATTAGGTGTAAGCTATTTTGCCCTGGTGATTTATCGCTACTGCAGTAAAGTCGTTCATTTGGAAAAGGATACACTAAACAAAACATTTACAGATCTACTATACTCCTTTTAAGAGTTCCTTTCTATTTACCATTTATAATTATTTGTATTAATTTTTGGTGTTAGCGCTCAACATAAGAAATAATAATTACAATTCTAAAAGAAATGATACTTTTTTCTATTCCATGAAATAAGCAATACTGATATAACATTATTGGCTTTATCAAGGTTCACACTGAAGTAATACATTTCTAAATTGAATTATTATATCTGCTAATGAATATCCGGTTTCTTTAACTCAAATTATCTTACATAATTTTATTCGACCATCTCATGTAAAAATAATAATAATAATAATAATAATAATAGTAATCTTACTTTAATTTATATAATAAAGCTCCTAAACTCCATTGTAGTTCGATTTTATTAATTTCAAGAGTGGGAATAAGTTTGTCATAATTAGTTGGAAAGTGCAAGCCTTTATGAAATGCACTAACTAAATATGAAGCTTTAAAGCATATTAATCTGTAAAGGAATATTAAATAAACGTGTTGACTAGTCAGATAATTGGCAATCATTATACACAATAGTAGATAATAACAAAGTTAAAAATTCCAGTTACATGATATTAATTATCGAAATACTTGGAAATCATTTAGGATGAACTTGTTCAAACAAATTCTATACTGGATATCAAAATTCAGACGTTTTATTGTTGTAATATCTTCAGTTATTATTACTGATCTATGCAGAGTAGACCTAAAAGAGTTTATCAAGTCAGATGATATGTATCGATATTTTGTGTTAATAGACAGTACACATGTCAATGTAATGAAATGCGTTACAAACCAGAGGAAAATATTACTGTATATGGACGCTATCGCTGACCTTTTGAAGAATTCCAGATAAATCCCACTTCAGTAGTATAGTGGTTTGGCGAATAGGTTTTCATATAAACTGTTTAACCTATTCAATCAATCAGTAAATGCACGTCAGATGTTCTTCAACCAAATCACGTGGTTGCATTTATATCGATTAACTGTTTAGTAACCATACTCACTATTTTATTGCTAAAATAGCATCACACTGTCAAGAAAATTAACAAAATAGAATGCCAACGCGAGTTAAAGCAACGATACATATGGGAGCTATTCAGTGAGTCAAAAGTATGAAATAATGTCGAAAATGGAAATTTAAAACAACTTCAAGTCGTGTCGCTGAAGGTTTACAAACACATTTCGGTGGAGTTTCAATCTCTGATTTAGATAAGCGCTCTACGGTAAGTATGGAGAATGAAGAATATATCAGGAAAGCCTGAGCAACTACTTCAGAATAAAAGCGTATATAAATCACCACACACAACTCCAGTCAAGAAGGTAGACAACTAAATCGCCAGGACATTAAACAAACTTATCAAAGCGGGACAAATACCAATACAAGATCAATCAAGAATGAAATACAATGGACCAGTGCTCCTTTAATTCCATGGTAGACCGAAACTATACAAACCAAACATCCCACTCCCCAGAACCTCATCACAATGTATCGGGAGAAATTTCAAGAAAATTGAGACATTCAGTTGATTCATACAGTCGTCCCGCTAGGTCCCCAATACAATTCTTGGATAAGATGAGAGATTCAAACCAATAACGACGAACTGGTGATATCCTTCGTCATAACAGCCCTATTAAACTCGATCGAATCAAACCTGGTAAATGAACCTCTATCACTGCTCTCCAACAATGAAACAAATATCCAAAAGTCAGTCTACAAAAAATAGACTAAACCATCAAGCTCAGAGAATGAAGCCCTACCAAAATTATTGGTTGATAGGATTCAATCTGCACTAAGGAGTACCTGACATATATGAAGTTGATTACCACCCAGTGATCAATCGATTGTAAACCAAAATTATCCACTTGAGCTACAAATCCCCACCGTTAAGAACTACACATTCCGATTATCTTAAGCTACACAATATATATACATATCAGATGCACATGCTTTCTTCGTAACCTATATTGCACGTGTTATTCGACATTGTTCGTTTGTATATTCTGCTTCCAACCACACAAAGTTGGATAAGCTTAACCTCGCTATGAGATTATTGCATGTTGATCGATGTGCTTATCTGTCAGAAGTCGCGACCATTCAACTTTATTAATTCTTTGGAGATTTTTACGGTTATTTAATTTAATGATCACAACGATCATTCTGAAGGCATCAAGATCACTGTTTGATCGCTAACAAAATTGATGATTCTGTCAGTTCATACGTTTTGTTAAATAGTTCAGTATATCAACCACTTCGAATCATAGCATATCACCTAGTCGTCAGTTCGTTTACAAAGGAAGTCACACTTTCGAATAACTACAAACTTGATCACGTCGATAATAGAATGATAGGAATTCACATCCCTGTTACTTTCATTCAGAACAACATGCTATAACAACCGTAGTCGAAAATAATTTAGCAGTAACGCTACTCAATTCATATAATCAATTTCAGTACATTCTAAAGTTGACTAGTGATAGGTGAACCACGAATTAATTGGTGATACATCGACTGATTTTATGATTATCATACGTAAAATAGATGCCTGTGGAATTCTTACTGTAATAATACTCTTTAAAGTATGTGACGTGGATCTTCCTGAATAATAATTACAGCTCTTGAGTGAACTGTTCTACCCATTGGCTCCGACTGGGAAATAATAGTGGTAATTCGTACCACTGTAGGGATACTTCTCAAAACTATTCTCAAAATTGTTGCCTATGAACATACGAGGTGTAGTTATCGAAGTCGTCAGAACTAATATTTATTTGTAGGAGAACTGATGTCATGCAAACTTTATTTTATGAGGTTGACTATAACACTTCTTCGTTTTCGTTGTTTAAAGCATTTCAGTAAGACTTCAGTTACCAGTCATTACAGTTTCCTCGTGGCCCTACTGTACAAAATAGTGTACGTACGGTTTTCGCATATTTCGTACCTCAGTAACCAACGGGATACTGGAATGCCTGTCAGGAATTCGAGGACCCAGCATACAATTGAGGTTGTCTTCAGC